CAATCAATTAGTGGCAGGTTATGTCGATAAAATCTTGGCAGGTTGTGTCCATAAAGTAGTGGCTGGTTATGTCCAAAAATTACTGGAAGGTAATGTCCATAGATTAGTGGCAGGCTATGTCCGTAAATTAGTGGCAGGCTGTGTCCATAAATGAGCGGCGCTCCCGCTATGATTTTGTGACACTCTTCTGGGACACTTTTACACGACACTCGTACTGGAAATAACCGCTACATTTTGCATACCTGACTTTTAGGCAAGCTTGAAAATGCAAACCTAATAAGTAATATTATATTAAATTAAACAAGATCTATGTGTTTTGACAAGGGACATTTATGTTCTGGGAGCAACATCGATACTCATTGTTTTAAGACAACAAAAGATCACAAAAATGACAACAATGACAGCACATGACAAACAAATAACAAACAAGGACAAAATTGACAACCCTGAGGCTCGAAGTTAAGGCCTCGAAGTTAAGGTGTGATTCCATTTTGGTGATAAAAATGGAAAATGGATGGACCATACGTGGTTCATGCAATCATAATTTCCATGCTAAACAGGTCAAATCCATGCCCAGTTTCTCTCATCAGTTCATACAATTGACACAAATGACTCAGCTGCACACTGAGCTGGCCAACGTAATCACAACGTGTTAGCATCGTGAGCAGGTAAACGTTCAATCAACGTTTTACCATATTTTAGATTTTATCTTTTTGAAAATAATGTCTTTTTTTTAATATTTTGTAAAAAAAAATATGAAACCACATTTGTTTGCACAACGTTCTGGACAACAAATTAGTCTACCAAATTTCAGATTAGCCTACCTAAATTTCAGAAATGCCTATGTCATTTTCAAATCACCTAGGCATTTCTGAGATCAGGTAGGCATTTCTGAAAGTCATGAAGGGCAAACCCCTACAAACTAATACCTTACGATCTGGGATGCATTCTTAAGTTTGTGAGAGACGCTGAGAGAATCAGATTTCATTTTGTCATTGACTATGAAGTCAGCGAAGGCAGTCCGATTCTGATACGACAGCAGATTATTGCGGCGGAAACTATGCCGCAGCAGGCCGAAGGCACAAACGAATTTTGGGCGATCACTGTCATGGAGGGTGCAGTGTCGGAAGACATCCTCACGGCATCGACCACACACCCATTCTGGTTTGGTTCTGCGATCAGCCAAAATGTGAGACCGCACATCCTTGTCAATGGTCGACGAATTGGTGGTTTGCAGGCTATGTGGCAGATTGGGGATTTTGTTCATTTTCGTCTACAGGTTTGGCAGACGCATCATGTTTTGAGCATTCTCTTGCATGAGGGCGATGAACGACAATCGGATGACGTGGTTGAACACACCATTTTTGCAATTACGCAGCAGCAAGGCAGAGAGGAGTGGACCAATGTCTGAAATCTGCGAAGCTTTGGGAGTGTCACAATGGTATGCAAGTGATGAGACGATCGGCTGCCAGACAAGTAGTAAGTAGTGATGATGAACAAAATCCTGGCAAAGGACCAGTATCACATGTTGGTGAGAAGGTTGGGAAGGCTCATGATGATGTGGCGGAGCCTGACAGCATTAGTGATCTTCAAGAACATCTGAGGCATGTGATGGGTCAAGGATATGAGGGCATCAACCACGATTTCACTGTGATCCGGAATCTCCACCCTTATGCACAGGAAGCCTGTAGGATGTCTGGGGAATGCTTCATGGACGGTAGTGTCTACCACATTTTCACAGATGGATCCAGCAAGAATGACAAAGCGACCTGGGCTATCACGATTCTGCACCAAGCCGATGTGGATGGCAAACACGTATATTATAGTGTGGGATACGCGGCAGGTCATGTCAATGACGATTTGGGTGCTTGTGACCCGTCAGCAATGGATGCAGAGGCCACAGCAATCATTGCAATGGCCGAATTTGCTTTTGGGCAATCTCATCAGAGGAGTGTCAACATTTACTGTCATTTTGATGCATTGGTGGTGGGGTTTGGAGCAATGGGTGAATGCAACATTCCAGTGCAGCAAGGCAGTCAGTCAGAGCGACAAAGATTGGCACGAATCGTCATGACCATTCTGGAGAGCAAACCAAACAAATGGACGGGGACCTGAAAGGCATTCATGTCAAAGCTCACCAAGGACATCCATGGAATGAAATGTCTGACAGCATTGCGAAAGCGGCGTGATGGGGATGGATGCCTACAGTGGATTTTGATTTTCGCTCTCGTCCATTACTCCATCACCCATTGGCAGCATGGGCATGGATAGAAGTAGCACCCACACCGGAATTAGCAGATTTGCGCACTATCTTGGAAAATGCTGTACCAGACTAGAAAAAGGGTAGCTTGGACTCCACTTTGTCGATTCCGAATCACACTAGCTATTCAGAAAGCCAGTCTGCCAAAATCGTTTTTGCGACAGTCAATGTGGGTACACTGGACATGGACATGGTGTCAGCTGGAAGGCTCTGGAGCTCTTGCGGCAGTTTGAGGAAAAGGGTATTCATGTGATTGGAGTGCAGGAATCACGGGCAAGGAGTTCGAGATGCTTGGAAATGGGTCCCTTTACTCGAATTATTGCAGCTGGGGAAAATGGACAAGCTGGCACTGAATTGTGGATGAATGGAGTGGCTTTGAGTCGACTCTTTGGTGTACTGCAGACAAAGATTTGTGCACATGGCATGCGGACAAGCGTGTATTGGCAGTGAGATGCAGTGTGGGGTCTGTGACTTTTTGATGTTATGGTCCTATATGCTCCTCAGAGAGGACGTGGTATGGAGATGTATGGAGGAGATAACTGCATGGTGGGAAAGTGTACATCAGATCATGGAGAAGCGAGAATATACCCGTAGTATGCCTGGGTGATTTCAACGCAAAGCTTGGAAGTGCGGTCAGCGAAGGATGCGGTGACCATGCATGGGATGTGGAAGACGACAGTGGAGGCCTGTTGCGTGAGTTAGTTGACAGATGGGGATTGTTGATGCCATCAACTTTCAGCCAATACCAGACCATGAAGGACACTCAGCAACCTTTGTCTCCTCACTGGGTCACAAAAGCCGCATTGATTACATCTTAGTATCCAAGGATTCACAGCCAGGTATCATTCGCTCATTTGTTGACATGGACATGACATCGACGGGACAGGGACCACAGGCCGTTAGTTCTGGAGGTCGGCATGCAACGGCAATCCACAGATGTCGGCAGATGTCAATGAGCATTGGGCGAATATGCGACAAGATTTGCAAGAAGGGGCGGCCAAGTACTTTCCTTGTCAGAAACGAAAGCCGAGGCAGTTGCACTTCAATGCCAACACATGGAAGCTTCTTTGTGATCGAAAAGAGTTGAGGCAGCAACACAGAGAGATACAGAGAGCGATCCAAAGCCATGTAATGAGACAATTGTTCGGCATCTGGAGGAACAAAGGGGAGATGCTCGATCAGGACAATTTGGTGGATTGGGACTTGGCTCTCCTTCGTCAGCAATCGGCTGTCATCTTGGAAGCAAGGGGCAATATTGATGCGCGCTTCAGGGCATGCAAAAAGCGTGATTGGAAAGAATGGATCAATGAGCAGATGGCCAAGAAGATCGAGAATGCCAATTACGTCAGCAACGATGCCCTTTTCAAGCTCCTGCAACCCAAGAAGATGATTGCCAAGCATGCAGGCAAGCTACAACAACCCTTTGCCAGGCAACAGATAGTGCAACAGCATGGCAACAGCAATTTGCAGACATTGAAAATGCAAACACTGTCGCATTCAGCGATCTTATAAAGAGATCGGAGCCGAAATGCTCTCGAAAGGGAGTCGAGCATCTGTTGGAGATTCCGACCCTTCTGGATGTGGAAAAGGCATTGCGACAGCTGAATGCGACCAAAGCACCAGGACTGGACGGGTTGGGTGCTGAGCTTTTTCAAGGCAAGATTGTCGAAGCGGCAAAACGAATATATCCTCTGGTCCTCAAAATGGGCCTGCGGTGTCAAGGAGTCCCGGAGCTTACTGGTGGATGGCTTTTACCGCTCGTCCAGGGTAAGGGTAGTGCTCAGGCAATGAAGGGCTATCGAGCCATTCTATTAGAGCCGGTGCTAGCCCGAGCCATATCAAAGGCATGGAGGCGCATGGTGCAAGGTTTGTGCAACAGGGCTCAACCGATGCAATGGGGAGGACGCTCCGGATTGTCAATCGAAAGCTTGCATTTACAGGCGCAAATGTGGCAAGCTCAGGCCAAAAGGGCGAAGATGTCACAAGCGCTCCTGTTAATAGACATCGGTCTGCCTTTTACTCCGTGGTCAAAGAGATGCTGACAGGTGTGAACAGGGAGGAGGACATTTACAAGGTTTTCCTTCGCATGAGACTACCTGTGTCAGCGTGGGGGCAGTTCAAGTCCAATGTTCAGCTAGAGAACATGCTGCTACAGGCTACAGGGTCTTCAGTCTTGGCAGAAAGCACGGAAGCGCTATACTGAAGCACACGTGGTTTATCATTCCTAGACGGACAATGACATTCAAGCGCCAGCGACAGGGTCGCAGCCAGGAGACCCAAGTGCCGATGTGTTGTTCCCACGCATCTTGGGTAGAATCCATGACAAAGCATGCGAAGTTGGAATGCCGCTTCACTACCAGGATGAGGAGATTGGTCTTCCAATTGCAGGGTGTGTTACATGGGTTGACGATCTGGCATTTTCAGTGTGTGCAACAGCCGAACAGGTGGTCGACAAGGCAGTTCATATGTTTTCCATCATTCAAGATGCGATGTTGGAGCATGGTACGGTTCTGACAAGTGGTGTTGGGAAAACAGCAGCAATTTTTGCATTTCATGGAGAAGGTGCTACAAAAGCGCGTCAAGATTTTGAGCGGGCAGCTGGTGGTGGTTTACATATCATGTCGGAACATGTGGGCTGCATGACAATATACCTGTGGTTCCTCATGACAAGCACTTGGGAGGGCACATCACAAGGGTTGGTAGTTGTCTGCAGGAAATCAAGGTCCGAGGGGCCAACACCATGGCGAAGCTCAAGCCTTTGCAAAAAATCTTGAAGGATGCGAAGTTGAACATGGAGAAGAAGAGATTGGTTGTCCGGAGCATTGGGCTCTCAGTATTGACTTTGCATGCTGGGACATGGACAGGTCTGACGCAAGGGGAACACGAGGCATGGCAAGCAGGTGTTTTTAAGGCCTATCAACAGGTTCAACCACGAGACGCACAAGGCAATGTTCGTCACGTATCCTTGTTTGAGTTGGCCAGAGACATGGAGTCTCCTCTTCCAATGGAGCTGTTGTACGTGCAGAGACTGCGATTGCTCTTTCACATCATTCAGGTGGCTGATGAATACATGATAGGAGCTGTCTCGTACAATCACCATGTGATGCAAGATCGATCTTGGTTGTACGGAGCCATGAAAGCTGTCAACTGGATGCAGCGTCAGATTGGTGACATGTTGGTTCTTGCAGAGGTCAGCGAGTTGGAAGACAGACAGACCTGGGAAGATCTACGCCCCTTTGCAGGTATGTCGAAGAAAAACGTCAAGAAGGCGCAGAAATCACACCTGATCAAAATCAAAGCCTTTCTCACTGTCAAACATCATGCTGAGGAACAAGATCAGATGTTGCGCGAAATGGGTTGGACGCTGTCGGATCTTATGCTTGCAGTCTTTGTCACATGGAGTTTGGTACAGAGGATCTCTAGCAGCCCACCAGCAGCGCAAGCATGGTTTGAGAATGGCAATGAGAAGGTATGCATTTGATCCAGCATGTCGCATTTGCAAAAAAAACCACACAAGGCCACGACTTCTTCGTCACCTTCATATGGGGCAGACCGGATGCTGGATTGGGCAATGTAGGAGGTTTGTTCCCATGACTAATGAGGAAGCGGAACGCTTGGACGAAGAGGACAGGAAGCAGGGGGTGGCCATGCACCAATCGGGCCTTCAGGGTGCAAAGCCGGATTGTTTGTGGCGACAATGCGAGGAACATGAGTTGCAAGCAACTCTAGAGATAAGGGAGGACTTTGTCCAAGGTCAGCATGATCCCACGACAGAGGAATTGCACTGCTGGTCACAGTATGGTCTACTTCCACCAGGGCAAGGGGGTAGGAGCAAGACATCAGGAAGACCTGTGGGCCTGTGGACATGAATTTGTGTAGTGTCAACAGGGCTGTGACAGAGTTGGAGCGTGGTTTGTTGGAGAGGGTCAAGCACTGGCAACCTTGTTTTGACTGGATCCCCCGGCCCATGGCGTGTGGCCAAAAATATTTCCTCATTCTGTTCAGTGGGCACCGCAGGTTTGCTGACATCGCCAGCTGGATGGAATGGCAAGGAGATGTTTGTCCAATCAGCATTGACTTAGCCATCGACCAAAAGTATGGCAGCATATTGGACGATGCATTGTGGAGGCAGTTGATTGTGGCTCGGAAGGTAGTGGGAGCGCATGCAGCGCCGCCTTGTGAAACCTATACATTGGCGAGATGGTTGGAGGTGTTAGATGGACCTGCACCGAGACCTTTGAGAGACATGTTGTCGCCTTGGGGCAAAGATGAGCTGACGATCCAGGAAGTCATGCAATGTTTTGTTGGAACTCAGCTGATCATGAAGGCACTGGCTTTGATTGTTCTGACGTATTGCTACGGTGGCTCGTTTACGCTTGAGCACCCCAAGGGTGCTGAGGGGCGTGAAGGTCGTTGGAGGATTTGGGAGTCAGCGATGGTGAATCAGCTCCTTTTGGCGGCCGATGTCAAGAGGGTTGACTTTGTGCAGGGCCCGCTTGGGCAGCCATTCGCCAAACCCACTTCCATGCTCACTGGCAGGCTCATGGACTTTGCGCAGGAGCTCTTCAAGCAGTATCAGCCAGGCTGGAGGCCGACGAGTGGCTGGGAGGAAGAGAAAGCGAGGCCTACCCCCCACGTGTGTGCCAAGTGATCGCGGAAACTCATCTCAGGCATGCTAGCAGTCTTCAAGAGGATGGACATGAAGCCGATCCAGCCCTTCTTGCACAAGCCGTGGCAGCCTTGTCACCAGGCTACGATCCATACCTGTGCGACGCAAAAGGCACAATGATGACCAACGACTATTGGAAGCAAATCGGCTGACAATTTTGTGTCTTCGTGCTAGTAGCCACAAATGTAAAGCGAACGCAGAAGACTTTTCACCCAAACATTTTCCCCATACCTCGCTACAGCAGCTTTTGAGGGATGGTCGCATGCAGGCGTCCGGGAAGGACTCGAACAGAGTGAAATCAAAATATATATGTATATTATATACATATATATATATATTATATATATATATATATAAATATGGTATATTGCATTCCTCTACTTGCATCGAATCCACCAGGGAGAATCGGACAATCGTCTTCCACTTCTATTTTTTGGGCTTTTGTGCCAGTTGTTCCTGGGAACATTCATCACAACATATCACAACGTCTCAAACGTCCGGGACAGAATATAGATTTATTGATCTATTTCATTTTATTTTAGAATGGCCGACCCCCACAGATTTTCCGATTTAACATAATGGAGGTTTTAGTTTTAATAGTGATTTTTTTGTTTACCCCACAAGTGGGGTCTGTAAGATCATTTTCTGATTACATATGGCCGTTTGGGCTTCCATTTAACTTTATATACTTGGTAGCTCATCCCAGTGGGTGATTTCTACAGCCGGACCAACCCTTACCCTGCTGAATTAACTCGTGTGAACTAACCCAGGGGGAAACACCTAAACAGGGCGTGGTTCACCTTCATATTCTCTGACCAGTTTCAGCTCCGTGTGCGTCCCTATAATCTATTCAGGTATCGAGTCCACAGTCGGCTCCGTGGCAGCGGGACCGGGACAGGATTTGCAAACTTGGATGCTGACGCGCCATGCCATCGCGAGGCTGGATCCCAAGCTAGCCCAGCCTCCAGTGAACGTCTTGTAGATGCTGGGGGCAGGATACCAAAATCGTCAAAAATGCTCAAAACATGTTGGCGCCAACCCCTGGCAACAAGCATGCATGTCCACATCATGATGCATACTTTGCTTGAACAAATCAGTGTTTTGTATTTGAAATAGGTTCTAAGCGTTTTGGAGTTGAGGGCTTTTGGGTTTATGGTTTTAGGGTTACAACCTCAAGGAACCGGAGGGTAAACAGGGCTTTCTGCAGTACACAAAAATGTTGTTCCGAGTAGAGTGCCAAGCTTGAAGTATCACCAGTGGATGAGCCATTTCAAAATTGTATGGGTCAATCTGTCTTCATTATGTCAAATATGCCAAATAGTAGGGGGAATTAGAAATTCTTTGAAACCAGCCCAAAATTGAACGATTTTCAGCACCTGTCGCTTCATGGTCAAAACAACATATCGGGACCCTTTCTATCAATGCTCCAGATGAATGGGAATTTCAGGATCCTAAAATGGAGGTACTGTACCATATAAGGCCATATTTTGGGGGATATTCCCTTACATAGGCCTTACATAGGCCTTATATATGGTAGGTACCTCCAATTTAGGTTCCTGGAATGGCCATTGACCAGAGGCCACTTTACGAGTCACTACGTCCATGCAACCCGCAAGGATCACCCCAAGACCTGCTACAAGTCCGATTTCTCTGACCTACAGCCGCCTACTGATGTTTTGTCCAAACCTCCGCTTCCCGCAAGAATTCCTTGGATGTTTGAAGCATTTTGAAGCCATCGGCTACGATCGATGCTTAAAGCACCGTGCCTCGCGACCCACGTTGGCTGCGGCAGCGCTGTTGACATGCCCACTGCTGACGTGCACATCTTGAATGATGATCTTTTTGGGGTTGGTTCATGTGGGCTCATCGCCAAACAGAGTGTAGGAACCCCAGGGGGAAAAAAACAAGTGATCCCTTTTCTAGTGGGATGTTACTTTTCCATCTTTTTGGAGAGCTGCTATAGCAAACTCTAGTAGTCACTTGATGTCAGAGACAAAGAGTTGGGTCTGAGATCTTTGAAACCACCAGGGAACGTCTCAGGACAGGGGTCTCGCCATTTGTGGACTCAGGCCCTGAGTCATGCAGAAATGGCCTTAGAAACTAGCCATAAATAATGAGAGCGGCAGGCTGTGGGAGTGCGCTGTTTCATAAGTTTTGATACCAAACCCTGTTCTTTCCAAAACCAAACATCGTTGCTTCTGTAACAAAAGCAACCACTGTGCATTCTCAACGGCTCTCCCGATGTCCTACATACATACATAGTTTCAGCCAAAACAAAAATGAATAATAAATAAAAACAGCAAAACAAACAAGTGCAAATGCCTTTCCAAAGAGTGCAGCATTGCTTTAAGAATGTATAGGCTATATATCTCTACAGGAGTTTCCCTCAACATATGCAATAGTCTTTTTTGGGCATGTGCACCAATTTATGCAATATGTTCTCTATAAACAATGAAGGAAAAATAAATGTGCAAACTGCACTTGTAAAATGATTTTGCATAAAGAATACCATTCCTCAATGTAACAACCCTTTGCAAAAAGTGCGGCATTGTTTGAAAGATAAGTAGCATTTAAAAATGTGCATTTTAAACATGCACCAATTTATGCAATATGTTCTCTATAAATAATAGTTGTAAACAAACATGCAAAGATCGCTTATAAAATGACTTTGCATAAAGAACACCATTCCTCCATGTATGCCACACCCTTTTGCAAACATTGCTGCATTCTTTCAAAGATGTGTAGCATTACTTCCCAATTTCAAGGGGAACCCTCCTATGTATGTACTGAATGATTCAGAAATCATTGCATACCTGTAGGAAAATGTAACATGCTGTTTTACCTTTGAAAGTGCAGATTGAATCTATTCTTGAATTACTACAGCATGGTTTTGGAAAGAGTGCCATCTTACCGACACATTCATTGAAACATGTGTTTTACCTTTGAAAGTGCAGATTCTTGTTTGCAAAGTGTGCAGCATTATTGTAAGGAAGTATAGCAAGAGCCTACTGTAGATTCCATCGATGATGCAAAAGCCTGTTTAAAAATATGTGTTTTTTGTTGTAAAGAAAGGATTGCACCACCTTCTGCAAGTAATGCCTTTCCAAAGAGTGCAGCATATCTTATCTTTGAAAACAAAGTAGAATATGGCTTCAAACAATGCAAAACACAGTGTAATTATAAATCAGAAATCTTAATGCAAACTTATTCAAATATAATTATGGCAATGTAAACAAGTGCTACATGCCTATGCAAAGATTGCAGTAGCACAATTACCTACAATATCTCTTCCAAACTAGTGCAGCATTTGCTCGAAAAAATTGTTATATTACTCCAAACTGTGCAAAATCTGTGTCAATCAAGGAAAGCCTTCCTTTGAAGATGCACACACTGTTTGTGCATCTGTATATAAATAGTTTCTTGGCAAATCTGTGTAGCATCCCTCCAAGACAGTGTAGCATGAGTCTACAGCAGATTCCATCGATGATGCAATAATGCTTGAGAAGATGGTCGTATTACTTCAGCAAAGTGTGCTACCAATTTATGCAACATGTTTTTCAAAAAGCATAGCATAAAACTAAGGTTATTATCTAGGACATAGCATAAAACTAAGGTTATTATTTGGGACCCCCCCCTTTCCAAAGAGTATAGAAATATTGTTTTTTTTGTTTTTTGTGGTTTTTCCAAGGTGTTTCCCTCTTTTCAGAGAGTCTTGGCTGGGCCCCCCCGCCCTTCCAAAGAGTCTAGAAATATTGGTGTTTTTGTTTTTCTTGTTTTTTGTTTTGTAAGCTGTCAAAGTGCCTTTGGGAGTGCAGTAAAACATCAGTAAAACATCTCAAAATATCATCTTAAATCATGGGAAAACTGCACTCCCAGGGGCTGCCGTTCTGCAAATAATCCTCTCCCCTTCAATATAAAACACCCTCTAGAAACCATGGTTTAGTAGGGGATTTCCACATAATTGGGACCATACAATCGGGGATGGGATTACACAGGGTCAAGTTGTTGAGGGATGTGATGTAAAAGTTCATCATGACTCAATAACATCATCATACAGTAACCTAATGAAATGGATTTGAACGATTTGCCATAGTCTACCCAAGATGCAAGCAGTGGTGAAAATAGGTAAACTTGATGATCTTGATGGCACCCGGCCCTTTGTTTGAAGGCCTCGCCTCCAAGATAGAGATGCCCCAGGGGCTACGCACAAAGATGCTGCTATCAACTGCGGCCCCGCTGGTTTCACTCAAAGACCCGAAACATGGAAACCAAACAACAGAAACTCGGCAAGTTGGAGGTGAGTCTCCTTATTTCGGGGAACTTTCTGCTGTGTGATGTCCATGCTTTCTGAAGCGCCTGAAGGTCATCCTGTCGCTAAAGATTAAAAAACAAAAAAAACATGTATACAGTGAACGAATGTGTGAACACAGTGATTTATATTTGCATAAATTAACATACACACATATATATATATAGGATGGATGGATGGATGGATGGATGGAGGGATGGATAGATATGTAAGCATGCAAGTATGATACATATATGTATATCTCAACCAACGCATGGATCCTTTTTCAGGACACGCCTCGTGGTTGCTACTGAAGAGGCTTTGTACATACTAAGGTACACAAAACCTCTCGAAATCACTAGAACCTAATTAAACACCTAGATTTACAAGGGCCATGGCCCACATGCATCTCAACCCTTAGTTGGTAAGAAAAGAAGATAATCCTAAGGGAAAACAAAAGCCTCCAACCCACGCCCAAAGTCAAACGCACCCGCAGGTGGTGAAGGGGCGGCTGGTGGGTGAGCCAAAACTAACCCCATATTCGATATAGAATCGTTAATGTCTGCACTACACTACACAGGTTACGTTACGCTGGACAACACTAGGATAAATATCTCAACCAACGCATGGATCCTTTTTCAGGACACGCCTCGTGGTTGCTACTGAAGAGGCTTTGTACATACTAAGGTACACAAAACCTCTCGAAATCACTAGAACCTAATTAAACACCTAGATTTACAAGGGCCATGGCCCACATGCATCTCAACCCTTAGTTGGTAAGAAAAGAAGATAATCCTAAGGGAAAACAAAAGCCTCCAACCCATTAAACAGGGAAACTACTTTGCCAAAGCAACTCCTCGATCAGGGTCCAAACGACGTTAAACACCTCGATAAGGGTCCAAACATGAAAAATTCCCCTCGATTAGGGTCCAAACGAGAAAGCAAAATTCCCCTCGATAAGGGTCCACCCATTCAGTACTCCAGTTTCCCATTTTTCTGGCGCAGCCGCCAATCACGTCCCTTAAGTCTGTACTTAAGGACACGCTTAGCTTGCGTACGTGACCAATGCACGTGTGCCAGCTGACAGGTACCGCTGTCAAGATACTGGCGGGCAGTCTTGGGGCACGCCCACCGTCCCTGTTGGACAGTGAGGTCCAGATTTCGAAATGTTTGAAAATGATAAGTGGCACCTCCCCGGCGCAAAGCATAAGGGACATAGGTTCGGCTATGAAAGCCAAGTCCCATCACCAGCTGATCAAAGGCGTTGCGGAATGCCTGATTAGACTTCGCCCAGAGGAGGCGCTTGTGATGCTTGCCACGCAAGCGAAGAATCATTCTCACCATTTGGTGGTCCGAAACCTGGATAACTTGCGGGTTACCCGACGATGTCTTGGAAGTGGGGATAACCATGCTCACGGAGTGATGGTCTCGGTGGATTACGAGATGCTGGAACGTCAGAGCTAGCATTTCTGCTGTGCGCAGCATCCCAATGAAACCGAGACCAATGAGCAACCCCAGTTCTTCCTGATGGTGACATACGGCGTAGCCCATCAACGCCTCAGTTAACTCCCAGGAGGCCGGTATGGCCCTCGTGGGGTGATAAGTCTTGGTCCAATTCTTATAGAATTGTGAAGACTCGGGCAACTTGAATTTGAGATAAGGGTGAAATCGCTTGAGGGCTGACAGCAAATGCCCTGCATAGCTCAAAGGTTCGCCTTCCTGGAAGCAGTGGTCCAAGTAGGCACTGACACATTCATCCAATTGAGAGGAGCGAAAAAGTTTGACCGAAGATTTGTTGGCATAGGATAGGAAGCCTTTCAGTGCTCTCTGATAAGCTCTCAGCGTGGAAGCATGCAGCCCTGCGTAGCGCAGACTCTTTTTACCTTTCAAATCTCCTCGACGCCCCATCGGAGAAATTCCATCTTGAGATGGTCCACAGGGGGAACAGATAAGAGTCTGTCGCCAGGAGAGCTGCTGCTGATCGCCGGAGCAGCCGATTCAATCGGCGTGAAGGGGAACGTCCCTTCGCGAGAGCACCTCGCGTGACCATGGAATCCACGATAAGCATCCAGCGCCGGCGGAAATGGGCACTGCTACGTCCTCGATGCTTGATGAGGGCTACCACAGTGGCGAGCTCCAATTCGTTAATGTGAGCCTCGCGATCCCATGCAAACGCCATCAACGTTTTCCATCTCCAGCACAAGGCCGGGTAAGGGATTTCATGCCGGGTAGCATCCTCATCTTCCACAGTCACATACGCGCGGATGTCAGTGCCGCGGTAAGAGGCCATTGTCAACAGCTTGCGGAGGTGCAGTTCCTCTTCCCCCTGTTTCAAGCTGCTTTCCCACCGGGCCAACTCTTCGGCAGCCGCAAGATTAACCAGCGGTTCTCCAAGCCTTTCAGTACTCTGCTTCAGCTCCTCAGCATACCACCGAACTCGGTGCTTGTGAAACACTCGGCCAAAATGGCCATCTTCCATCAGCTGTTCTTTGAGACCCTTTGCATATGCCCTGCACAAGGCCCAAGGGTATTGCTCTTCCTCTGCCGTGTCATACACCAGGTATCCATCCTCGTCTCTGGTCACCTTGTACGGCTTCAAACCCTCATGCCCTGGGCAGGACCGATTGATGTGCCGATGGACCCCTGGGATATTGTTTCGGAACTCAAACCATTTCTCTCTTGGGCCTCCGAAGCAACAGTGGGAGCCCGTGGACTGCAGAAAACCTGCTTCGAGCAACTTCTTTGCGAGCGTAAATTCCCACAGCCAACTCCCGTGAGGATGCTCAAGACTTTCATAGAGGGTTGAGCGTGGTGCGTCCTCCAAGGCCTTTAGGCTTTTCAAGGCCATCTGGTTTGAGTGTCTGAGACGCACCTTCATGCCAACCGGCACATGGTTGAATCCCATCAGATGCCGATGATCTCTCACCGGTTGTGGTCCTGGGATCACCGTCCCATCCTCCAGTCTAATGGGTCTCCCTCTGGCCTTGCTGAAAAGTTTGCAGCAAGGGGCCCAATGCTCCGCGGCCAGCAGCGGGTCCGTCATCAATTCCTCCAGGCGGTCTTTCCCTTCCTGGGTAAAGAAATCATGGCCCCAATGCCAGTCATAGGGCTCCTGGACATCGATCGTTCCCGCCATGGCCACTGCTTCTGTGAGGCGAGCTTGCTTGCCCGCAAACCTCTCGCCAAAGCGAGGTAATTCCAGGTGCCGCCTCTTGCAAACCCTGGCGGGAGGGCACCGCCCGTTGCGGTGGTCCATGAGGCACTGAAGTGAACACAGCGCAACCTGGCATAGTGCTGGGCATGCAAATTCAAACCCGGGATCAAAGGGTCCCTGGCACACCCAACATTCCTTTCCTTCGTGTCTTTCGGTCCAGGGTTCCTCCATGAATTGGCTGGACACTGCAACTCCTCCTCCGGAGGGTGAAGCATCTGAACAGTAGATGAACTTCTCCAGTTCGCTCTTCAGGGACGTTCCCATCAGCGCAGTGAATGCCATCGTCATGATGACCTCGTCCATGGCGCCTGGAGTAGGACATAGCGCCTTCTTGGCCTGGAGCACATCACCCAGAAAATGAAAACCATCCTGTAACACGGAGAGGAGCACTCAGAAAATGAAAACCATCCTGTAACACGGAGAGGAGCACTCTTCGAAAACACATTCCAAAAACAGCCTTCCCAAAGAAGTGACGAACATCAAACTCTCTCCATTCTGGCAACCCGAGCAGGCAGCTCCCCAGGCCAACCAAATTGATCTGCTTGTCGCCCGCGAGCTTGTACCAGCCCTCTTTTCCTTGCAATTCTCCTCCTTGGAGGGTCCCTTTCGTTGCTGCTACCAGACGTTTGCCCTCATTAAGAGGTAGCCCTTTTTCTTGGCAAACCTTCAGGAATCTCTTGTGCCGCGGTGATGCGACTCCTTGGAGGACCTCGGCGCACTGCCGGTCAAGACGCCTCAACTCGTCATAGGAGTCCAGATAGATAACCGACAGGTCATCTGTTTCTGGGAGGCGCTTCAACTTCGAAATCTCAGATTCCTCAGGTATCTCTGATTCCGAGAACACCAAGGTCCGAACCACTGCCTGGATCACTGACACAGCATTGATCCAACCCATTGGCACAACGGCCATGGCAGGGTAAACCTGCTTGCCAGGTACTCCGCCAAAGAGTTTGGCGTCAACTGTCTTTCCGAAACAGGTGTACCCAAACCACCTCTCCGGCAGCTTCCACAAGTTGAAGCAGGAGACAAAATCTTCTGAGTCCACCACCCAAACATCATCTTCGTCCTGGTTCAAGAGCGTCAGCTGCCCCAGGTAAGGCAGGTGCTTGTCCCCGCCTTCGAGGTGCTTCTGGTAGGAGTTGATGGGAATGAAGTTTGAGATGAACCGCTGCATTGAGCGCATCTCACCCCCAATCTTTTTCAACTTCTTGACTCCGGCGGCCCCATTGAGCACCATGATCCCGTTGTGGTCGCGGAATACATCCTGCTCCTCAACCGGAACCATAAGACCCCTTGCTGCCGCTGCCTTGACTATGACATTCCACTCCTCCTGCGTAGCCCTGACTAGGCTCTTTGGGGGTCTGCGTGGCCAGTCCTCCTTTGGAAGCAGGCAGCTTTCAGGGTTCTCTATTCTCTCCCTCAGATCATCTGGGAGGTAAGATGTGACATGCTGAACGGCGGCTTCTCCAATTGCCGGCCATACTGGGATCACTTGTTCAGCCTTGAGTTCTTCCAATGACATGATGGGCTCACCCCCATAGTCAAATTTGGCCTCAACCAGCTGGGACCGCCCAGTCAACAGGTCAGGGCATCTCTTGTCCACACTGCCCAGATCTCTGACTCTTTCGGCCAGGTGACTCACCGCCTGCCGCTGAGCTTTGGTAAGGCGGTCCCTCTCAGGCCGATAGCGCTCACTATCGCGCCCTCCGAGCCACATGTAGTTCAGCCCTAGCACTACCAACATGATGGCCTCGACCTCATCAACCGGAAGATCAGTCAGGTACTCTTGCACTGCTGTGAGGTCCATGGGAAGGAGATCATCTCCACGGGTCTTAGGGCAATCTGCCCTGGGAGGCATGTCCTTCTGCTTAAAGGTTTTTGCAAGTTTTCCCAAGGGACTCTCCAGCATGTGCAGTCTCTGAAATAAAACTGACAGTACTTCCAAGGCCGGTCTCTCCATTTCCATAAATTTCCCCCAAGTGCCACGCCATGTTCTGCGTGCCTCCTCAACATCAATCACGGAATTCTCCGGTCCTGCACTCACTTCGCAGTGGTGTCCACTTTGTCCTTTCCTTTTCCGACTGAGGCTCCTTTCTCGCGATCTCCTTTGCCTCCTCTTCCCTTGAGGCCCTTCTGATCGCCCTTCCCTTGCCGGGGATTGTTCCGTTCCAACCCTTTCAGCTTCTGCTCCAGCAGGAACTCCTTGCTCAAGTAATACTGCTCTGCTCGATCGAGGAGACCCTGTTGCTCCCCCCCGATGAGCTCCAAGAATTGAGCTGCTCCCCAAAGGCCTTCGCTGCAGGCTCTTTCTAGGGCTTTTACCCGTTGGGCTACGATATCTGCCGCTTGAGGCATCTTTTCTTGTGCCATCAAGTCCAACACCGTGCACAACGTGCGCAGTTCGCGCCCCGCTCTCACGTTCACCTTCTGCCCCAGAGTTGGCAGCATCATTGTCTGCAAGTAATGCAGAGCAGCTGCGGGCGTACTCTTCTTTCCTAGAGTGGCCCCCACCGAGGACAACGACGACTCTCGTTGCATCCGAAGAAGCAACCTGGCGGCCAGTCGACCCGGGTACCTCTGGCTGTACTCGGTCAGCTTCAACTGGTTCGTCGCCGCTCCCTGGGTGGAGGCCTCTCGAAAAACTGACCCTTCATCCGACGAGTCTTCGTGCCTTCTGTCATCAAAGCGCTCCTTTTCAGCAGCACCAAAAGGTCCCCTGTCACCCTTGCGTCCAGGTGAGCTGGAGTCCTCGCTGCTGGACTTGCCACCTCCAAACAGTCTTCCCCTTTTTGGGGAGTCAGCTGAACTTGAACGCCGCCTCTTGCGACTGCGACTCCTCTTCCGACTGCGATCAGCCTTCCTCTTCCCTCTGGCTGAGCCAGGTCCAGAGTCATCACGCCTCTTCTTTTTCTTGGCCTTCTTTTTCTCGTCCCCACGTTCAGGAGACCCCTCACTGCGTCTCTTTTTATCCTTCTTCTTCTTCTTTTTGTCGCCTGATGCAGGCCTCTTGCGCTTGTCTCCCTTCTTCTGAGAGTTCTCCTCAGCTGCTGCTAGCTCCTTCTTCAATCTACTGATCTGTTTGCGCATGTCCTCACGACCTTCATCCTCTGAGGAGTCTGAACCATCAGATGAGGCTTTCTCCTCCTGGCCAACCCAGGGTAAACCATGTCCCTCACCTGGCGTTACTGGCTTGGTGAGACCTTTCAGGTGGGGTTCCATGATGGCAAAGCATGGCCTGGTGAAAAGCCAGGTAGGCGACTTGCTCTGATTGACCTCATCAGTCAGAAGACGAAAGGTCTCCACATGGATCAACTTCTGCCTCCCTAACTTCTCTTGGCACTCGTGGGAATTGCCGTCGCAGAAGTGGTAGGTCGCCTTCTTTCTCAGGGAATGCCCTGGTCCTTCAGTAGCCCACCAACTATAGTGGGAGTCAGAGGCGCACAGATACTGACAGTCCACGAAGTGTCCTGCCGGACCTGTGGCCTTCTTCTCCAGCACCTTCACCACTATCGTGCCTTGGGTATGACCTGCGTCATCCCTGACAGCACATTCCAAGAGCTGTCCTTCCTTGAAGCCAAATTTAAACCAGGCTTCACGGTCGTTTTCTCCCCCCAGCCACCGCATCGTGACCGAGGGGGTAATGGCTGGAGCGTGGTTGCTCCCTGAGCCAAAACTAACCGCATATTCGATATAGAATCGTTAATGTCTGCACTACACTACACAGGTTACGTTACGCTGGACAACACTAGGATAAATATATATATATATACAAATTCATATCCCGAAACACAGGGATACAAATGTACATAATACAATATTTATACGTATATTATGTATAATTAAGTACACCTAATAATTATATATATATATATATTATCGTATATATATATTATATATTATAAATATATTCATGGATATCGGCTGGGTATGAGAGAATGTCACTTGTGGTGAGACGGGCCTCTGGTTGTGATAACTGCCTGCTTGGTCCGCGCAGCGATAGCACCGCGACACAACTTCGCCAAGCTGTCGCCATGGGTGTGGGTCAGCCCTATGCAAAGACATGAGACATCATGAGACTAAAAAGGGACCCAAGCATGGAAAGATATGGAAAGAATGTTTTCTTAATTATTTAATTCTTTCTCCAAAAGAAGTCCCAACACTCTCGAAACATATCTGCTGATCCACCTATTTGCCTCATCAACATACAGGAATGTCTCCCATGGCTTTTGGCCAAAGGGACTTGTTGGGTAGATCAGCAAATTCGCTAGCAATGTGGCTTTTGGCCAATGGTAAACCATCCCTTGGCAGATATCAGAAATGTGTTTTTTCAAGACATGCAAAATGCATCCCAATTGGAGGTTTTTGACTTGGGTATTGTAATGATTGTAATGGTCACATTCCGGGTGAAGCAAGCAAACGGGAGAATTGGGATCAACAAAATGCAGAAAAAGAATGGATGGGATTAGATGGTAAAACACAGCAAACTCCGAATGGGGTTTCCAAGGTCCGAAATTGTGGCCATAAAACCATGACTTTACATATGTTTTATCTGTGTCCGTGTCTCTGTCTGTGGAACGTATCTGTATACTTTCACAGTGTACATCTAAAACGGTTGTTCAAAACATATTTCTAATGTGCAGTTTTTCATGCCCAATCTGCAAGACATCCAGAAGCACCTGTCCAAAGTGGCAAGTCACGGCCATGCCACAGCCAAAGTGCTTCAAGATGTCTTGCACCGGCGCGTCACAGCGGCGCAGTGGCACAGTTCGGTCACATCATAATTTTAAAGTAAAATCCATCTGAATCCGTTTCAATCACGTGCCCGATTGGGTTAGGGCTCCACGTGTTTCAGACGCAGCTATGTACTGTCCCCGTTCCAATGAGGTAATTCGACCAGTTCAGCTGCCCGCTCACCATCTACAGTCACTTTCAATGGGACTTGCAGTAAACCAATCAATCTGACATAGAACCCAAAAATGCAGTGTCCCAAGACATGGGAATGGGGACACCACCATTGTTTGGTTATCTCTTAGCTTCATTATATAAATCTAGCTTGTTTATGTATGTATATATATATACACATATGTATACATCAAATAATGGTTCCGATCTAAGTGGGAATTCTGCGAAAATATGGCACCCCAAAATCCGGCCGTCTATCACGCTTTGTCCCAGGTGTTCATCCATGTTCGACAAGCCCATGCATATTACTTCAACAAGGTTGAGCGTCCTTGTGAAGCCAAGTTGGGTTACAAATGTCTACACCTAGGTTAATTATGGCTTATAGACTTATAGATGTTTATAGTACATATATCATAATATATCATGATATATTTATTGGAAGATATAATTACTATTATGTATTAATATGTATTAATATGTATTATATGGTATGTTCTACTGTTTGTGGTAAAACTAAACCTTATGAAACATTTCTGGGGGGCCCACTGCATGATCTGACGCCCACACAATTCACTTTCCAAGCTGCAATTCCAGGAGAAAAAATGTTAAAAATAGGAAGCCCCAAAGCCTCAAATGTGGGTCATGTTCAGTCTGCATTCTTCAACCACAGCCGCTATAGCCATCCCATGACATAGTATGGATCACTTTTCCGGCAGGAATAATCAATGGTAATACCCTCTGGTAATTTAACATAGCTATTGAAAATGATGATTTATAGTGGATTTTCCCATTGAAAATGGTGATTTTCCATAGCTATGTTAGTTTACCAGAGGGTAAATCACATTTCTTTAAGAATAGGAAGCAACCCCATCCACACTGCTATGGCTACGTGTCTGCGGGAACTGCGGTGAACTGGGCACATCAAGCCACTCACCAAAGCACACTCTCCTGGGTCCTGGCCAGGAAAATCTTGCTGAAGTCCTGTTGAAGCTTTGTTGATCCGAACTTAAATGGATTTTTTTTGGGATAGTGGTACTGAATAATCATCTTATACTTTCATCCCATGATGAAGATCATCAATTTTCACATTTTTTTCCAGCCAAAATAGGTGCATTCACCTATGTTCAGACACACCCACACAAGGGACCGATCATCGTGGCAACTTCATATGGCTCCGAAGCCTCATCCTGCCGAAAACGTCTGGTTTTATGGGCTGTCTGTACCGTGGTGCACACCAAATTTTATGACAATTTCATGGAGAAAATATGAGAAAATCAGAAAATCATCCACTCAAATTGATTTTTCTCAAAAAAAAAACCTCTCCAGATATAGCCACTGACTCGCGAAAACCGTCCCACCTTTTCCGATCTGAGTCAGCTGACTCCCGAGTACATCTCGGAGGCAAGCTGCAAGGTCCTCCCTGCAACTGATGGGATCCAGTCGCAGGGCATTTCCTGATCCGACTGGCCACATGGAAAAATGACATGGAAAACTCCATGGAAAACTCTATGGAAAACTCTGTAGACTCGATAGGTCGCCCATTTACATCCACACTGATCATGGATATTCATGGATATTCATGGATCTTTTTAATGATTGAACTTGAAATCATCGAATTTGAGCACAAACAAAGGAGAGCCAGAGCATTTTTGCCACATGTGGCTACAAAGGAGAAGATCCATTGACCATCATCCAAGGTTATCAAGGTTTATAGATGGAGAGGCGTTGGTTTTCACAGAGGCATCGTCAAAGAATTGGTCATCTGGCTCTGTCAATGCGGGACACCCTCCAAATGGCCATCGTATAGGAAAAAAATATGTTTAACCATCTTAACTACCCTTATGAACAAACAAAGCCAATATATCCCAATATAATGTATATATATATATAGTACCCTGGGCCAACTCAGAGACGCTGCTTCTCTGAAGAAAAACAGTTGACCAAGTCGTAACGCATCAAACCGTATCAAACCGTATCAAACCGTATCAAACCGTATCAAATCATCAAATTGTCATCGTCGTCATCGTCACCATCACCTATGGATAGTTCTGGTAAGTATTCGATCTTACCAGTCGCATGGCCAGTCGCCGCACGACTAACACCACCGAGCGTCTGCTTCTTCAATGCGGAACTCGTGAACGCCTCCCCGTCCCAAACTAATCTCTTGGAGGTCCCATAGTTTGGGTCCTCAAAATCAATGGAGATTGTCTAAATTGCCATTTTAGTATGGGGAATGTTCAGAGTTGGAAGCTTCGAGTTTCTGAATCTGTAAATGTGGACTGTCAAACTCCAGTTTGTTTAGGTGAACTGTCGACTATCTGAGATATCTGTCTTCCCCAGGCGCCTGCCAAGATACAGGTCCCATTCTTTAACTCCTGCGGAAGAAAAATTCCAATTTGGGATAGTATTGGGGATATATAATATATATATATTATATTATATATATATATATATCTTATTGGGGATATACAGTAATAGGATTGGTAGCCCAATATATTCAAAATATTATGATCTTTTGGGGATTTTTTATAGGATTCTGAAGCATTTTGGAATGGCACAGTCGGACATCCCGACATCCCGACATCCCGACATCGACTCAGATGACCAAGGGCCCTGTGAAAAGCCGGCAGCTAGTAACCATGAAGGCTGCTACCCTCTGGTAATTTGCTATTGAAAATGGCCATTTATAGTGGATTTTCCCATTAAAAATGGTGATTTTCCATATACCAGAGGCTAACCCCAACAATAAACACTTCCCAATGCTATCCCCAATCCGCAACGGATTTGCCACGCCGGGCCGTGTTTCCAAAAAAAACTCCTGTGGATCGGAAGGCTCTAAGACCTGATCAGGGCCATTGGGTTGGGATGCTCCGCTGTCTCGTTCCATTCTATGTGAACCGCGGACAAGCAAAACCCCGTGTCATTTTCACAATCCCATCAGGAATCTTAATTGATATATTATATAACAAAATATCTTCTGTGAAGTGTCAAATGTTGGATAATACTGGACAATGTAAATGATAAATGATATAATATGACAATTTTTAGCTGGGCATGCTGCTTCCATGTATGACCAAAGAACACAGGGGTACCAATCCCGGGGGGTCCCTCTCGAGATTTGAAAGACATAAATTGCGGGGCCTAACATCCTGCAGTGTTCATCTGGGCATTCCGGATGAACGCCGCAATTGGGTTAATTATTTGGGGTTGAACCTACTTTCGGCCTGTTGTGGGTTATTTGGTGGCAATGCACGCTCTATGCTGAGCCGAGTTGGGTTGAGCCTTTTTAGCGGCCACGCTTGGGTCTATGTTGAGGCCATGTTGATTTGTTTCAATCCAAATTTTTGGCCAGCATTATTTTTCAATCGGCTGCAACACTTCTGCAACCAACATCATTCCTGCAAAGCCTACGGCTGCTCATAGTGATTTTCTGATGCCCGTTCATCCAGGTTTCGCATTGAAAGTTTCAGTTTCCTCAACCATCCTGCAGTGTTTTTTGTGCTTACCCGCCCAGAGCCTCTATAAAATCACTGCTGTTGTCCCTGCCTTTCTCGAAGCTGCGTGTCCTATAATTTGAAGCTGCTAGCTCTGGTTTCTCTATAAAGTCATTCATGTTTTCATATCTATGTTTTCTATAAAATTGGGGTTCCTAAAATTGGGGATCCTAACCCCAAAATTCAAACTAGATAAAACGTTTTATAGCGATGGAGGACCCTCGTGATTCTATAGGGAGGTTAGGTAACCGGGTAACCCCTTCAAAGAACTTGGGTCAGTTCAGCCTCAAAACCAGGGGACGACTCTCAGGGAGCATCTCCGTCCGGATCTGCCTTTCATGTTTGTTCATGTTTTTGTTTCCTCTTTCGGATCACTGGGATCCCAACACAGGAAAGTCGTTTCCAGGTGCCATTGGTGGAATTGTTGTCCATGATTTTTGCACCTCGGCTTCGATCTGCCATGGCATGCCATTGGGCCATGGTTTTTTCGACCATCCAGTGGGACCAGAAACGGAGCCCAGGCCCATTCAGCAGACCAAGTACAACCATGTACAACCATGTACAACCAACAAAACTGGGCTCTAGGCAGGGCTAGGCTACCTATATGAGCTGCAAATAGCTGCAAATTGTTAACCTTGAACCCAATCATGGACTCAAGCCGGGGAATTATGGGAATTGGTATTAAACCATATTAAACCATATTAAATAAATAAGTCAATGAGCATGGTGTAGAGTATGACTCATATATGACCCTAATTTCCATGTTTGCAACTGTTCATTTTTTGTTTTTTTTTTAATGAAAACCAAGGCCGAAGGCCGAGGGATTGCACATGCACCGCCCACATGGTGCTACCATTGCCGGAAACACCTCTTGACATTGGCACGAACAGCCGCGGTTAATCGTACATACTTCAGCACCTGTTTTTTGTCAAAACATTGGATACCCTCCGGTAAACTAACGTAACTATGGAAAATCACCATTTTTCATGGGAAAATTCACTATAAATGGTGATTTTCAATAGCTATGTTAAATTACCAGAGGGTAACAGGGATTAAATAAACCAAAGAAACATGGTGGATATTGAAAAAATATTGACGATTTTATGGTAATTTCCAAGGGATTGAACCCAACAAAAATGATATATTGATGGGAAATATCATCCAGTAAACTCACATAGGCTATGGAAAATGGCTCTATAGTAATGGTTTATATGAAGAAATTTGTTAAAATTGATGCCACAACTTTTTTGATGCTGAGCCCCCCCCCCAGACCTGCCCGCCCAAAAGCCCCCCATGTCCCCTTGGACATGTATGATGACACAGGCATGGCACGTCTTTCATGCAAATTCCATGACATGTCATACATGGACATGATGCCACGGTCATGGCAAGACATCCCGTGTTCAGACATGACATGTCATACATGGACATGCCATGGTCATGGCACATCATGCCATGTTCCCATCTGTGACCATGACATGACAAGCTCCACATGAAGCAGGTCATGCTCCCAACTCATTTTCAACCATTCATTTCTTGAAGATTGGTTTCAAAACTCCTTTCGGTTTCGAAGTACTGGCCGCCTCTCTATCCTTGCGGTGAAAATGTGAAACGGTGGAATCTACAATGGCATTGAACATTGCCACATTTTTGGGTTCTTCTCCCTTCAACAACTCTTTTTTGACAGCTTCCCTCACATCTTGGAGCGATAAAGCTTTGGGGTCCGATTCCTCCATCAAGTTTTTTACAAATTTCTTGACTTCTTTCTTGAAGTCTCGCTGATCAGGGGACTCATCTTTCTTCTTTGGCATTCCTGCGTGGGGTCGGACAGTGGGCTAGTGTTAATGTTGCATGAATTTGGGACACCCATGACAGGCATGCAAGTCCATGGTGGTAAACGAAACCATGACTCAAACATGACACACATGGGAAACATGGCCAACAAACATGAATACCCACGGTCCCTAACATGGCAAGCATGGTCAAACTCCATGGATGACAAACATGAAACTCCATGTGTGGCAAGCATGGGCTGGCCAATTGGGCTGGCCAATTGGGCTGGCCAATTTTTTCCAATTGGCCAGCATCATCCCGTCGTCCGCATGAGCCTGTGAGCACGGTACAAGGCTCCCCGCTGTGTGCTGGACATTTTCAATCCAGTCAGGTCTATATCCAGCTCTCCCTGGACTTTATCCAGGATGGAGAATGGAATTTGGTCCCCCGAGTCCAAGGTGAACCCCCAAATCCTGATTCGTGCAGGACTCACCACCGATGGCGGCAAGGGCTCGAGTTCGCCAACAGGAATGTCAGTTGTGGGCTGCCATCCACCAAACAAATCCAGGATCGCCTTCTTTCTACCAGCTTTGAGGTTGGCTTCTTTTGATTTTCCCGGGTGCCACCACTGAACTATTCCCGAGTCACCATCGACATCCACCACCTGGCCCATGACAAAGGGGAGCGCCTTCGAGTCATTCAAGGTGATGACGAAATCACCAACACAACACGAAGCATCCATGGCTGGGTCAGAATCTCCCACGGTGCCAAGCTGCACCAAACTCTCCAGAGGCATCCCAGGCATGTCCGCTCCTTCAAAGGGATGGGAAAGCAAGATGACCAACAAACATGAAACCCTTCTATACCGATACACATGTACTTGGAACAAACACGGCGGCAAACAAAACTATACTGCATGGCATGCATTGGCAGTGGCATGACAAACATGCAACATGTGGCATAAAACATTAATACCAGAAGTTTCTGGAACAGACATAGCAATCAATGGCATGCACTGGCCAACCCATACCCCATCATAATCACCCCATACCCAGTTTGTGAAACAGACATGGCAGACATGGCAACTCCATGTGTGGCACACAAGGTCCTGGACAGTTGAGAAGGAGCATGTCATCAGGGACAATCGCGGAAGACTCCAAGCGACATCCACGTGGTGCTCCGCCATGCATGATGTCACCCAACATCCTGTCAACTGGCATTGTGAAGTCAGTGTCAAACTGGGTCACCTGCTTCAGCCAAGCCATGCCAGCTCGCACATGATCATCCAAAAGGTTCATCGAGCCCAGCTGGATTTCAAGTTTAGACAAAAAGTCACTGAACTTTGCCTTCGCTTCATCCGTGAACTTGTGCTTCACATGGGGCGGCCTGGCTTGTGCCACCGTCGCAATGTTCTCCGGCGCCACCACCAGTCGGGGACGGCTCCACAGTTCATCACTGATATATTGCTTCCAGCGCACAAAGACCCCGCCCGTGGTGCGGAAAATTTCCAGATCGTGAACATTTCTCAGGTGGTGAATGTCCAATCCCAGCAAAGTTTTCAAGGCTTCAAAGTCCAGGGAGGCGTGCAGGTGGTCCCACTCCATTTTGTAGGACTTAAGGGTGGACACAATGATTTGTTTCATGTCATCTTCGCTGATGTAACTCTTTCCCATCAGCGACGCCTTGATGCGACTGAAGACCCTGTCACAGTGGCTGTGTGTGTGCCCAACAAGCTTGTACACGGTGCGGATCCTCCAAAACCGTGTCTGGTGTAGGGCACACAACAGCCATACACAGGCAGAGTAGACAATGCTGTTTTTAGTTTCCTGCAGCCGTGGTTGAAGGAAGAGGCATAATAGTGTCAACCAAAAGCGGTGGGAGTCAAAACAAGACAGAACCATTGTTCCAAGCAAGCTGGGAGAAAACTTTAGATCCCCACCTAGTCCTTGGGGGTGTTATCGGCACTGATTGTCAAAGCTTCCGGCACCACGCCGGTGTCCATGACTTTCCGGTGGAAAGCCTGGAACAAGAGACTTCCCTGCATGTTGGCCCCGTGCTTGGAATCTCCCTCATACAGTGAGGTGAGGCCAACTGTGTCGTCCGGAGTTCCTGACCAAATGGTCGCGACCAGCCCGATGACGAGCACGAACCCGGTCTTCATCAGCGGGGTTGAACGCCTGGGATGGCCAATGCACATGTTCCATGGCAACATGCACTTGCTCCATGACAACATGCTCCATGACAACATGCATGCACATGTCCCATGACAACATGCACTTGCTCCATGACAACATGCATGCACATGTCCCATGACAACATGCACTTGCTCCATGACAACATGCTCCATGACAACATGCATGCACATGTCCCATGACAACATGCACTTGCTCCATGACAACATGTTCCATGGCAACATGCATGCACATGTCCCATGACAACATGCACTTGCTCCATGACAACATTCATGCACATGTTCCATGGCAACATGCACATGTCCCATGACTGATGGACACCAAAGCTAAACATGCCATGCTAATGACAATTCCAGATGTAATGAGGCAAGGCCACAGGCTGTGGATGCACGGCAGATTGGTCTTTGTTTGGTCCATCTTGTCCACTTGCAAGTGCCTTGGGTGATTCAATCACCAGAGACAGAAAGAACGTTGACTAGAAAGGCTTGAGTTTTGTTTCTTGGGCCTGAACTTCAATTCGAGCTACCACTCGGCATTGTCTGACCGACGTGCCTGCTCCATGAGACGTTCGTCAGCCAAGCGCTGGCTTGCTTGGAAAGCATAATGCCTCCCAAGACGAAGCTTCAGAGCATCAAGCACTTCAGAATGCTGCCTAGATGTGGATGCAATCATGCCCTGCAGGAACTTGCACACTTGGCAGGCCACAAACATACTGGTGCGTGAGGCAATGACAACATGGAAGCATTCCTGGGGCAGGGAGATCATGAGGGGAACATGAAACATTGGTGCCACAGCATGTGAAGTATCCATGACCAGGTACACAAAAAGACATGGACAGCATGTGGAGCAAGAGGGGGCCAACAAGAACTGAGGTTCACATCGCCATGCTTGGAGAAATGTTTGTTGGGAAGCATACTCCCCATCCAAATGGCTCAGCACTTCCTGAGAGCGCTCCCAACAGTACATGTGGTAGTAGTCAGACTTCCGTCCAAACGGCAACACCATTTGGCCGGTCATGGGATTTGCTTCCGCATACTTCTCCGCGTGGACTTCGAGCCATGACCGAGCATCCAAGTAGCGAGGAGCTTTGGCAGAATTGCGAATGGTGGCCCACATGCCCAACTCTTTCTTTGTCAAAGCAGTGACTGCATTCGAACGAGCAGCATCCCTGGCTTGTTGAATCGTGCCAGCTGGGATCCCAGTCAGGATTTGAAAGGCACGCTGACACACAGTCACTCCCAGGAAGGTGAAACCATTGTTCTCCTGCACATGTTTGCAAAAAACCCTTCCACTGGTCAAGTGCTACAAGGGAACAGCGCCATTAAGAGGCCAGTTTTCAGGATTCGATTCAAGAGTTCAAAAGAAAAATGATGTTCCTCCAAAATTGAGAACGAAGCTCTGGTGAGTCTTCCTTATATAATGATATCAAACACTGAAAGCCAGTCGTTTGGCTTTTCATGATATCAAGGTAACCCTGTGATTGGATACCAATGCAAAATCAGAGAGCAGATGAGATCAGACAAGTCTCTCGCATCAGTCTGTACAGGAATTCCAGGCGTTGTGTTCTGGGTAGCGACGCCCAAAGCACTCTGAAATTTTTCACGAGTGCCGGACATGATCGCATCATGTTCAAGCATTCATGCTTAACTTGGCCAGTGTGACATGGCATCTCCAACTCTTTGGAGATAATGGGGAGGGATATGTACTGACTCGCTTTGATGACAGATCGAGCGTAGCCAGAACGAGTCATGTGAGCGATGGCAGGAAACTTCCTGGAGCTCTTGGTCAGCAGATAGTTACAAGACCGCAGAGCAGCCTCTGCTTTCTGGTAGCGCTTCTCCCGGCTCAACTCCTGGGTTCATGTAGATTACTGGACTCATGCTGTGCATGACATGGTCACACCTACTGTCTCTTATAATGAAAGGCTCCTCATAAGCATGCTGCTCACGTGTCAGCTGGTAGAATGCAAACTGCCGGGCTTTAAACATGGCAGCTCCAGGATCCAAAGGGCCCACGCTTGAGATCTTCTCGAAGTTCTCGATCAAAGTTGCCGTTGGTACTGCCCAAGGGTCCCATTCCTGCAGGCATTGAATTAAAGTTAACTGGTTTGACACAGAGTCTTCATTCCAGATCTCTGCAATGCGGTCAGTGCATGGATACTCTGCGACGTCTTGATCTGGTCCCTCTTGGTCGTCTTCGCAGGAAGGATCCCGCTCCAATCCCCAGAAATGGTAGTCGTTGCTCAAAGCAACCATGATCATCCTCAGGCTATCCAGGAAACATGTAATAATAGTGAGATGGCTGGACTTAGAATCATGACATGCATGCTGTACTAGGCTTGACATGGCTTGACATGGCTTCATGGATAGACATGTCTGACTTCAAAATTTAACAGATCTGGCGTTATTAAAAACCTGACAATCATGGCTTGACATGGTTTCACATGATTCCATGGCTTGACATTCATGACGTCATGCTCACAAAAAAATATGACAGGCATATGATATGACTTGACATGTTGACAGCTAAGCGATTGATGCAGAGCGACTCAGCATCCTCAAGGCCACAACAGGAAGCTCCAACAAAAGCAGGGTCGGGCTGGCCATGGATCAAAACACAAATGTCAATGCCAAAAGCGCAGCCAAGACAATGAAGCATGGCTGTGTCTCCCCAAGTCCCACCCTGTCGCATTCTCTCCAGCCACCTGGCAGGACGAGACAGGGGATACGTATCTAGCCCTAACAGTCCATGTATGTTTACAAACAGTCGATACAGTGGCACCAGCTTTTAAACCCCTCACCTGGCATATGATTCCCCTGACACAGTCCTTGCTAGGTCACCCACTGTGAAGTTGTCCCACAGAGGTTTGTTGGCATTTGCCTCTGCCCAGTCACAAGCTATCTTGCGGATGATTCGGTTCTTGTTCCTTTCCTTCTTGACTAGGGACCATGGCTGTCGTCGAAATGACCTGGGAAAACATAAAACAGACCAGACTAGTTAGGAAGTCAGTAGTCCCGTCAATGTTAGAATTCAATACTCTGACGACTTATTTCATGAGTCTTCCAAGGTCCTGGCTCTATGAATTTGGACGCAGAAATTGCAAAAGCACCAAAAAGACAGTCACCATTGGAAACCGTGTCTTTCACATACATGTCATTCAGGTCCGCAAGTTCCATGAGGTCATGCGGGCAAGAAATTCCTCCACGACCTTGCCCTTGAGGATGGTCTGGACGCTGATACGTCTCAACCCATGTTGGCGTAATCAATGGCCGGTTGGCCATCTTTTGGAAGTGATGTATTTTATCACATGATCTACATGTACTATGAATTTGTGGGTAGGGTTTATCCCATGGAGAAAATAAATGTTGTCAGTGTAGTTCCCCACCATGGTGTATCACATCATATCTTGGGTCCTGTGCCATGTGCTGAAGCATCAGCCGAAGGAAAGCGCCCAATCAGTTTCAAAAACCGTGATCATGGGGCATGACACCATGACACCATGACACATCTCAACCCATGCATGGCACGTCATACATGCCAACACATGTCAAAGCATGCCAGCACATGTTACTGCATGCCAACACCATGACACATCTCAACCCATGCATGGCACGTCATACATGCCAACTCATGTCAAAGCATGCCAGCAAATGTCACTTCATGCCAACACATGTCACCTCATGCCAAATCATGGACATGTCACAACCCATGGATGGCACATCATGAAGCATGAGACAAGAGACAAACATGGCAAAACTACAGCAAGACTATTTTTGCTCACGTCTTGCCATTTCACCAATCTCTTTCCTATTGATGCTAGATCCGTCAACTACTGACAGGAAAGCCACACATTGAGCCAAAACTAAGGTCCTCACTGGACTCTATCATGACTGGGCCACCTTGCCAAAGGCTTCCAGCAAGCCGGTCGGCTTGACAGGAGGAGAAGGCCCACCACCATTGCTACCAGCTGATTTCGGCACTGCAGGTGTGCTCGGTGATGGAGACGGGTTCGGGGTCTGCGGCGTGTTCATCACTGCCTTCGGCTGCGGGCTGTTCTTCGGGATGGGTGCTGGCGCTGGCTTGTTCTGCTTCTCATACTGCACCAGGCTGTCTGGCTTCACCAATTGGGTAATTGGCACCAGGCGCTTCTGCCGAGTCCATCCAATCAGATTCTCCATCATCCATTTGCAGTGTGCTGCAGTGCGGGCAACCCCGATTCCCCTGCCATTGGAGAGGAGCACTCCGAGGAGCTTTGCACCAGAGCCTGGGGTCATGTCGATCAAAGTGACACTGCCCGGGCCGCCGAAGACCGCCAAGAACTCCTGCGTCAAAGTCCAATGGTGTTCATGCGGAAAGGCAACCACGTTCTTGTCATTCATGTTCAAGTCCATTGCATCGTTTGACCCATGGCAGTCTTCGGAGTCGTCCCGGTCCGGGGTCATATCATTCTCCTCACACATGTGTCAACATAATGTTATCACCATGACATACCATGACGATGCATGACCATGCATGACCATGCATGACAAGACAATTAAAGAGTTGCACAGGTCTGTTGGAGCTTTAGCTGGATGTTTTTTAAATATCATGACTTGTTTACCACCAACTTAAGTGCCAACGAAAGTCATAGAGCTTTTCATAGGCCAGTTCGTCCATTTGCTTGAGATCCGAAACAGGGATCAATCTCACTGGCCACTTGGTGAAATAGGTGTCCCCTCCCTCAAGAAACTGCATGGCACCACAGTGCGCGCTGGAGATGGCAGACACTGAGCAAGCAACGAAACGATCCTCAATCTTGCTCCCAAATGCCCTCCTCCCACGCTTGAACCTTTGGAGGGAGTCAGTGGCATTCGGTTCGATGGTGGCCACTGTCAAGGCATGCTTCTTGGCACCCGTCAGTTTGCCAAGCTCATTTTTCACGACGTCCAGGGCCGACTTGGATTTCAGCGTGTCGACCTCATATTAATAT